TTAATGATTAATCTTTCAAAAGTGATTTACAATGTTGCATTGCACCATTGTTAGGCTTTATAGATAAACAATGACATTGAAGTCCATATATTGTACATATTATGCTAATTATGCTATTTAAGACAATTGTATTACTTAAAAATAAAAATTGGTGTCATAAATAAATTTCTTGTCATATAAACCCTTGAAAATTCGTATTATCCATGTTTTTAGGCTGCTGGATTGAGATTAGCAACATTATTACATATTGCACATATGCTAATTAGATGATTATGCTAATATGGCTATTAAAAAAGTTGCTCAAGGTTGCCAAGCTGGCAACCAAGCTGAATTTACTTCAATACCCATGTAGAACACAAATCAACAAAACAACCTTGTACTTATCAACTTTTCCAGGTCATGTACATGGTATATGGTACCGTCTACTGGACTAAAAGCACAAGGGCAAAATTGAACCATTCTAACACAGTTCTCTAAGATTAAATTTGTTGTATGGTCCCGCCTACGACGACAAAACAACATGGGGCGTAACCCCCCCCCCCCTCCCCCACTCTAGTGCTGTTGAAGCCCCGGTCGTAAGCGATGTAAATGAACTAACATACTTTTTTACTTTGAAGGCTTGAAGTAAATTGCAGCAACAGCTTTCAAAACTCCCTCCTATAAACAAAAGGACTCCACGTTCCATTTTCAAGGTTGAGAGGAAATCAACCATGAGAATTTAGATTATTAATATACACAAAAAATATCAAACCACAAGGCATTTTTATTCTTTATCAACATCGTTTATTCTTAGACACATTAATTGCACCATACATACTATTATTATGTTATTTAATAAAGGAAATATAGGTTTTCCCATCCATTTTAACACTTTTTTCATAGTTTCTTAAATTTTTCATTCAATTTCGTCTCTAAACATCCTTATCTTGCACATCTCAGTCAATATCGTCTTTGGTGATTCATTTTGAAGCTTTGTCCAATCAATGTCGGCACTTTGCATCCAATTTCGGCTGCCAACATACAATAATTGCGTGAATCAATTTCGTCATTTTGCAATAGATTTCGTAGTTATAGTTAATAAAAACGTAGTTAAATTTTGTCACTCATTTGATTTAAGGTCATGACTACACTACACATTTGAATGAAACTCTCTTGAAATTGATCGCACAAAGACGAATTTGATCATTACATTCTGCAGCGGACCGCCAGGTGAGACAAATTTCAGATGAAATTGGATGAAAATGAATGGACAAGTGTCGAATTGATCATCTATTGATTAAATTAACTTCCTGAACGAAAGTTAAGTGCAAAAAAGATGAATTCAAATGGAAAAAGAGAACAGTGATAAAATGGACCGGAAATCCTAAAGTTCACAAGCAATTGATTCACCTTTCTTTTCTGTAGGTGGACTGTGTGAAGCCCAGAACACAAAAGTCAGACTATCATTAGCATTTATTTGTTGCCAATTCTAAATAGACCAATTCAATACACAAATGTTATTATTTGTTTAGCTCAAGATATATATGACATTACGGGTACCTAAATATTCTGTAATGCTTTGGGCTTTCTAAGAAAATTCAATATATATACATATATAATTTGTTTTCCTTCTTGGTGTTTCATAACATCTTTCATAACATATGGACCGTACTCAATATTGGTAAATGGAATCATTTTTTCTATTCTTGAGAGAAAAACAAAATGTCTAGAGTTAGTATTCGTAAATTACGACAAAAAATAATGTTCATAAAAAAATGAAAACAAAAACAAGCATAATTATTCAACTGAGTTGGGAAACAATCCTGGGTAACAATGTAAATGTATTCATATTCAATGTGGTTATTTTGATTTGAATATGTGTCATTTTAAACAGGGTGGCAATCCTACCAGTAGGTACACTACACAAATCTATTACTCATGAAATTCATCACGACGACAAGTATCAAGGCTCGTTTAGATATGACGCAGTAAACCCAAATCAAATAATCGCTGCAGTTTTTTTCTGTAAATGAATGATAGCAGCGCACACCAAAGGTCCTACACAAATTCACTCAGCTCTGTTTAACAATATACTGAAATGTGAAGCATACTACACCACTATGAATATGACTGACAAATAACGCGGACAAAATATACAGTTCCTCAGGTAGACAAAGGAACATCCCTTCACTGCTATTATGTAAAAATGTGTAGAACAGGTGTCACATGCATATTCACCTTTTTACATAATAGCAGTGAAGGGGGTGTTCCTTTGTCTACCTGAGGAACTGTATATTTTGCCCGCTTTCTTTGTCCGTCATATTCATAGTGCAAGTTACATCACCTTTAAAAAAAAAAACACTGTTGTTTACTGCTGCATACCTGAACAAGGCTCAACGTTGACCGAGATGAAAATACAGATAAAAATTGCAAAAATGGACAAAGCTTAATGACATTTAACCTCAGATTTCATTCAATTTAAACAAGGAACATCAATCACTCTCCACGTGTCCTTATCAACAAACAGATAAATCTGGACATAGTTACACACAGTTCGTAATAAACACACATGTATCTTATCATACATTATTATTTCTATAACAAGTAGCACACGATAAATAAGTTTCATTTAAGGCTTGTTCAGATATGCAGAGACGAACCCACGCAAAAAAAACCTGCAATTTTGGTTATCGGTGTAAATGAATCATAATTTTGAGGAGGTAAAGAAAAAAAAGCCGCCATGATGACTTTTGCGCTGTCTGGCAGCAAAAATTTCAACCGATCAAAGCCGCTTCATATCCGGGACGAGCCTTTATTCTACGATTACCTAGAGTTGGAATGTTGTTGCTCAAAAAAAATATAGCCACACATCATCTAGAAGGGACCAATCATTGATAACAATAATTATATATCATTAGAAGAAATAAAGAAGAAACACTAACGAAAAAAACTATATGAGACATTCAAATGTTTGCATTGAAAGAGCAAAGCATCCCAAGGCTGAATAGACCAGTTCACGGTTAGCACATGTCCCAAATGACCCTGAATATCCACAGATCTTCATAACATGAAGAGGTCCCACTTTGTACATTTTGAAATAATCGCTCCTACAGCGATGGGCGTGCTACATAAATAGCCTCTGTTTCCCCTTTTCAAAGGATACTTCCACCTGTGTATCATGGAGTGCACTGCTTGTGCTTAAATGAATGATGATTACATAACTTTCATGAGCATGTATCCAGCATTCAGTCTCAGTGTATTTCACAATTTGTTCTGCAATGACCTTTATCTGCTCATGCTCAGACTGCAACCGTGAACTGGCTTATTTGGTCTGCAATGACCTTTATCTGCTCATGCTCTGACTGCAACTATGAACTGGCTTATATACATGCATCCAGAGACTACTCCCATTGCTTCATCTAGTGTGCTATTTTGGTAATTAACATAGTAAACTCTCGAGATAGTCAGCATGGAGATTTTGAATGAAGAATACATGCATGGAATTGCAAACATATAAAGCAAATATTTTGTGGATTGGCCCCCTCAAAGCCCCACTGCACTACTTATAGCTACTTGCGCCCTCTATATAGCGAACAATGCCCAAGCGGTGACGTTCGTCCCCCATGATCCCCTTTTCTTATGTTAATTGAGAGCTGATTTGATGAGATAAACCACTTTTCAGTGACCATGCAGGGAGGTCTAATCCCTCCTGGCCAATCTAGTGCAGATAGGCTTTAAAAAAGAAAAGAAAAAGAGAAATCCAGAGAGAGAGACAGGAGATAAAAAATGTGAGACAATATCCCTACTAAAGGACTATTTCCACAATGGAACCAAGGTGATCAATTGAGCAGTAAATACATACTTTGAATATTAAAAACAATTAATTACTTTCCTTCAACATGTATGAACCCTCTTCTCTGGGCTGAGCCCAACAAGTCTAATGGCATTTTAAAAGAAAGACAGCACAATAACAAGGTCATTGACCTTTACAACTTTATGCTGGTATCAATGGGTAGGTACTAACTAGTCTACAAACAAAATGTGGTTTTCATCAAAAGAAATTTTTGAAATGATATACATCATGCTGGTGGTACTGAGAATAGGACTCAACTATTTTTGTTCAATCGTGTTCAATTGTCAATTGTCATAAATGATAATTTTGTAATCAGTTTTGCATGTCACATGAAAAGCTATTCAGATAGAGTACAAAGAATAGATAAGATTGTCAAAGCTCTAGCCTCCTAAATGCTAAGAACTTTAGTACAGGGATGAATAATCATAGAAACTTCATAGGCCAATCAGAGCTGAACAAATTATCATAAAAACAATCATGACAATAAACTGCTTTTTATGCAGCACCTCTCCTTTCCAGCAACTAATCACTGAATTAATTACAGTAAGATTCCCTATACAGTACACCCTCTGCACTCCTTAAAAGCTTTCCAGCCTATACAAGGCACTGAACTCTATCTACACTACGTCTTGTAGAGTTCAGTGATACAAAGGGGCACATGATAACCCATAGCAGTTCAGTTTCACCTCGTTTAGTATTGTTTTATTTTATCTTTAGATCCAGAAATCTCTGAATTACAAATGTTAAATTGGTGTATCATTATAAAATTTACACTATGTATTGTAGAGTTCAGTGATACAAAGGGGCACATGTTAACCCATAGCAGTCAAGTTTCACCTTGTTTAGTATTGTTTTATTTTTTATCTTTTGATCAAGAAGAAATCTCATAATTAAAAATGTACATGTTCAAATGTTATTTCATTATAAAATTTAAGTTAATTCTGTTGCAGTACACTGTGCCATCCCTGATTAGGAGCAATTTCAAAACACATCTTCATTGAAGTCTCTAAATTGGCAGTGCAGAGTTAAATTTATAATCACTGTTTTTGTTTGAAAATTGGCAATTTGTTTATTTTGTATTGTATTGTACTTTTCACTCACATTTTTATTTAAGTACACATTCTTTTCTTTGTTTTAACTATGAGATATTGATTTTTTTTTTTTTTTGTTGCCAATTCGCAGTGGGAAAGCTGAATCATTTTGACCTTTAGAAAACTCTGAACTACTTAGGGTTCATGATTCAATCCAACTACAAAATGTAACGTCTAAAGGTTGTGGACCACTTATTAATGCCACTTGTTTTTGTAGACCCATATACACATTTCTGTGTACGGCGAATGTGACTTTTAGCAATACTGGGCTAATTCCTTATCATTTTTGATGATCCTAAAACCTCACAGTATACACCAATACATTCCAGCTACATGATCAAACTGTTCCAATCGTTTCCACAGTTTATTTTAAAAATGTGATTGTTCAACTCAACTTTATCTTTAAATATTACCAGATCCATGACACTTGGTAATGTGTTGGACACGCTAAGACAACTAGACTTACTTAATATTCTTCATGATTAGATGTAGATAACTTCATAGCTATTTTAATACGTATAAAGAATCCATTTCTGAAGGATGTGGGTTCCTTTATAGATCTCAGAAACATTATCTTCACATAATTCATTTTTTCTATTAAGAATAAGGGGTTTCACATCCTATTTACCAACTGTCACTGAACAAGACAAAGGGATACTCTCCACTCAGACAACATGCAAAACGACCATAAATTCAGCTTCAGCTTGGTCATATATTTCAGTTGCATTCAGCCGCTAGAAACTAATCCATATCATACTCTTCTTTGGAAAAAAAAAAACAACTTAAAATTGATAATATCATTTATATTCTACATTTTTTTACACTTCTTTTTAGAATTTTCTGTTACAACAAAAACCACTAACGGGACCCCCTTTGCATAACAACTGCCAACTTGCTTGTGCATGCGGGATTTCTTTTATACAAAGAGGCATAAATACATGTACATAGAGTGCACTGGCATGTGATTAACAATGAGTTGTGTTTGAGGCCATTGTGACAGTATAAATCAGAAAGAAACTAATTACCCAGCACATTTGTAGAATTCCCAGTGCTCTAGCGATCTTCCACAGGGGGGCAGGTACAAGAGCGATTGTCAAGCAGGGCAGGGCATCAACAATGACAGTGACATACATTTCCATGGCAACTATGAACACAAATTTTTTTTCCTTGCATGTAAATACGAGTTTCAGCATAATCTGATGCATGCACAATGAATGAACATTTGAAATGGGGTAAAAATACTTCATCTACAGAGCCATAATCCATAAATAGTTCTAGCTTTTTTAACTCTCTGTGACCTTCAACTTGTATTCTTTCGGTATACAGCACTAACGTAGTTATAAAAATGTATCCACAGACTATGGTATATATATATGTCATACATACTTTCACACTAACATACACAATCATAATACAACACGCACACAAGTATACGAATGAATAAATGGGGAAGAGTAATGAATGATAGCTCAGATGGACCTCAAGCGTCTATATCATACCGCGCTAAAATCCCACAGCTTGACCGTCTTGTCGTACGATCCCGAGACGATTTTGCTGTTGTTGAACTGCAGACAAGTGACTCCGTCGGAATGGTGACGAAGCGTGACGATTCTTTCCCTGGTGTCGATGTTCCAGACCTTGAGGGTTCGGTCGTCCGCTGCACTCACTATCCTCCAGCTGTCCGCTTGCAGACACCTGATGTTGATCGAGGAGAAGATAGAAAGAAGGGTTTCAAGCATTTCATAAAAAAACAAAGATCCGTGGCAGGATCGGAAGCAGCGTCCATAATATTTGATTGATAAAACTGTAACGAGTCAAGCAATAAGGACGCAGGATTCAATTTCAAGGATTCCATTTTGTTCCATCTTTATGGTTCAGACTTTAACACCTATTTTATGTCTCTTTTAATATCCACGAACTGTAGGTCCTGTAAGAGACACACCCAAATCCAACATGGAGTCTTTTGTGTATAAGTACCTCCTTTCTCAGAGCCCACCAAAACATGTGTCTCTCTACCAACATGACCAGCATACCTTCTCTGCATACACTGTCCATGTACTTTTATTCATATATTCATGCCCATGCATGCTCATTGAAGTGTTTACCATTGTTTAGGTCATGGCTTCCACAAGTGGTTGATTTGAATATGTGTACACCTTTAGTCATATCACTACAAAACCAACAATTTATACTTGCCTAAATCTCCTGTGAAGTCCGGCCACTTTGAATATTATAGTTATCAGGACATTAAAAATGCACATAGTTTATCCTTTTTCAGTGAGGTCTGACCAGGCACGTGTCCTTTTTAATCCCCTACCCATAACTACAGTCAAACCGGCTTTAGTGACCACCTGTATAGAAAGACTATATTTCAATAAAGACCACATTTTTTGTTTCCCTTGAAAATGGTTTCTCCTTGAAATATGTACTAAGAAACCTGTACATAAAGACCACCTGCCTATAAAGACCTCTTGTCTTCTCTCCACTGAGTGGCCTTTATATACAGGTTTCACTGTTATAACCGGTGTTCTTACCTCACGACCCCTGTATGACCCTCTGCATTCACCCAGTCAATCGTGCTTGTGCACTCTCCGGTCTTGAGATCCCAGAACTTGAGGTTACTGTCCAGCGAGCCGCTGATGATCTTACTGGCATCAAACTGGAGACATGTGACCGAGTTCTGGTGACCCATCAGGGTGCGCATGCATAATCCACTAGATAAACTCCATATCTATAAAGAAATGCAGAATGAGAGAAATTCAGGTCAATACAGACTACAATGGAATTATACTACTACATGTTATTATTAGACAGGTTAAGAATATACAGTATGCAACATAATAAGCCATTCCATAGTTGCAGTCTGAGCATGATCAGATAAAGGTCACTGCAGACCAAATTGTGAAATACACAGAGATGAACTACTGGATACGTGCTCCTGGAAGTTATGTAATCATTATTCATTTATGCACATGACAGTGGCGGATCCAGGGGGGGGGGGGGGGGCCCGGCCCCCCCCCCCCTCTTGAGAAAAAAATCATGCAAAATCACGCGATTTTTACCTTTTTGGGGGGGTTGGCCCCCCCCTGGCGCTCAAGGGGGGGGGGGGGGGGTGCAAATTTTAAAATTTTCGAGGACCAAAAAAAAAAAATTGTGCTCACTACCCCCCCCCCCCCCCCCCCTACTGAGCGACTTTTCGGCTGGCTGAGTCGTTGCGATTTTTTTTGGACTCCAAAAAAAAAAAAAAAAAAAATGTCCGCTTACCCCCCCCCCCCCCCCCCCCCCCCCCCCCCCCCCCCACTGAGCGACTTTTCGGCCGGCACGATTTTCATATTTTCGGGAGCAAAAAAAAAAAAAAAAGTTGGGCCCCCTCCCCTAAGAAATCCTGGATCCGCGCCTGGCACATGAAGTGCACTCCATGATACACAGCTGGGAGTATTCTTTGAAAAGGGAAACAAATGCTTTATATGTAGCACCTCCATCGTTATAGGAGTGATTATTTCATAATGTACAAAGTGGGACCTCTTCATATTTTGAACATCTGTGTATATTCGGGGTCATTCGGGACATGTGCTAATCGTGAACTGGTCTATTGGTTACATGGCACCACGTAACCATGCATTATTTCTTCCTACCATTGCACGGTTCAGTAGATAACACACAGCAAAGGCGCACGTACGCATCCCTCTGGCACGTAGAATGATAGGACACATTGAAATGCCTATGGGCTAAGACATTGAATGTGCAGACAACGACACAAGCATTATATTCTTTGACTGCTACTGTAGGTGATATCATTCAAAAAAACATGGGGTAGCCTCCATGACGGTGCTATGTCTGGCATGCATCTGCTCATTTTGGGAAACATTATAATCAATCACTAGTGACTACAGTAGGGGTGTCAACAAAAATTTAAATCCATATTTATTCATTCATTCATATATTCATGGTATAATACAAAACTTTGCACATGTTAAAATTTAACAATCACCAGATGATAATCAGGGTACATAGACGACTGTGGTTTAAAAATTCAAGAAAAACGAAAATAGAACAAACATCATAAGTCGTGTAACATCATTCATAATTAAATGGAGAGAAGTACTTGCATCGTGAGCGATAAACTATTGGTTAATTTGTCTATTCATATGCCATTACCGGGTATGTGATCTTACCTTGATAGTTTTGTCGGCAGACCCTGATATAATTTTTAAGTCGTCAAATTGAAGACAGATCACAGCGCCGAGATGACCACTGCAAATTGGCAAAGTAAAATGGTACAATAGACGGTATTAAATGGGAGCCATGGTAGACTGGTTCATTCTTTCCGCCTCTCATCAAAAGGTTGATGATTAGAAACTTTTTCACATGCTTACATCCTAAAACTTGGTAGTTTATGTGCAGTTACCTCTCTCAACCCAGGTCTTAACAGTGGGTACTCAAGGAAGGCCTTAGAGGGATCAGGTAACTTTGTCTCAGATTCTGAAACAAAATCCTGGATTAAGCTCATGCTGCAATGATAATTATAAACCTTTAGGTCAGTCAGGAACCCCAATACTTTTACAAGCCGATCGCCTGTCTGATTATCAAGATATTTATGATTGGAATTACAAATTTTAAAAAGCGTTTGCCAAGCGGTTTCTATAACACTACAGCCTATTGGGGAAAAGGAGTATGGTAAAACCAGTCACTCAAAGATTTTTACTTGTTTGAGGCACTTCAAGATCATTTTGAAGCGCAATTGTTTTAGGGCTTAGATATTACACCATGTCACAGATACTGAAAACACGCAGGGCCGTGTATCTCAGATTAAACATTGTTAAACGATGCCTTTAAGTATGCACCACAGAGGTAAACTAGAGTAACTGAGCAGAAATTTCTTTTTCTTTCCATCAAGATTTACTGCAAAAAAAAAACAGCTAAGGAGATTCATGTCTATTCTAGAACTCAATACTGCATTGTGTTACACCTAATCACAACACTAATCAAATACCTGACTTCCACCCCAGACCCAACACGAAACCTAACCCTAATCCTACATCAAAACAAAGTTTTAAGTTTAATGGAAATCCAATCCAAAATTTATGAAGGAGATCCCCAAGTAGTTGTGGGAGCAAATGTAAAATTGCCAATTTTGATCCTGGCCTCACCTAAGGGTCAATCTACACTGACCGGTGCGGATGTCCCAGACCTTGAGGGTTCGATCATACGAGCCACTGACCACCTTATCATCGTCCACCTGAATACATCTGACCATGTCATGATGTCCAGTCATCGTCACTCGGCATGCAATACTTGACCAACTGCCCTGCATAGATAAATCCCAGACCTGTATAATGGTGAAGAAGGAAAGAGAAATCTTTAGTGTTTCAGGCATGAATCCTAATCCATGTTAACTCTTTATATGCCACAAAAAAATATCTCTCTGTGCCACACTGTATTTTCCATGGAATAGACATACCAAAAGCTTCAAAATTACCATAAATCTCTGTCTATTAGACGCACCTGTGTATATTAAAAGACGCATCCATTTTTTTTTAGACACAGCCGAGGAAAAACAAAATGTGTAAAAGTAATTACCGTGCCTATTTTGGTGATCATTTTCATTAAAAATTTGAGAATACTCCATACTTTTTTGTCTTTCTCAGCGAATGTTGGATGGTAGCCATACTGCACAGCCCTTGCTACGATAAACCTTATTTACGCCAAGAGATAACACTGCTCAGTAATAAGCGGCAGTTTTTTTGTGATCTAGGAGCAGATGGGCGGGAGATGCACCTTCCTCATCTGGTCTCCCTTGGTGTAGGTCTTCTCCCCCTCTATCATCCACTCGCTCCAGGCTCACCGCATCCCGTCCTTGAACGGCTTGTTGATCCTGGCGTTAAGTGGCTGCAAATTTGGTGTTAAGCGGCTGCAAAATCGGCGTTAAGCGGCTGCAAAAATCGATGTCAGGCCACCAGATATCATACAGTAAGGTCTGTATTGCTCCGCTTAAGGGCTGACTTGGTATTTTGGGTCTTGTGGCACTGGAAAGCGTCGATCACAAGCATACTCCTCCGACTAGAAAGACTGCCGACCCGTCTCTCAAACATCGTATGGAGACAATCGATGGCGAGTACCTCGGTCATCCAGCCCTTTGGTTGGACCCTCATGTTGATGCCTGGCAGGAACTTGTCATTTGGTAGGGTCTTCCGCTTGAAGACGATGTAAAGTGGAATCTTTCTGCCATCCGCCGTGCAGCCCAGCATGACGGTGAACCTGTCCATCTTGTGGCCGGTGCTGGTAACGCACACTGTTGTTACCACACTTCGTTACGATGGTTGAGGCCTGGGGGATATTGAAAGTCAGCTGCATCTGGTCGGGTTCCCAATCCTGGATAGCGTGTAGTCATGCTGAGTCTTTGCTGACGCCATAGCTTGATGACGAGTCGCTGGAACTGGCAGGTTTTCTCATCGACATCGTCCGGCAAGGGCGGAGCGATGTGCGTCTGATGGGTAGACTTGTTTACACAATGATATTCAATAGAGCTAATTAGTTGTGCTCACACTCTCTCTGATATGAGATCAGGCTGTAGACGTATTGGGGCACAGCGGTATCATCAAATAACATGCCATTTGGGCGTCTAAGTTCGCTTCGTTTATTGACAGAAGCTGATGAATGCGCGATAGAACAATGATGAATGAGATGACAGACAAATCTTCCTCAGAGTCCAAACAGAAATCCAGACGGAGGCAGCTGTGGTTCTAGTTTCTGAGTGGTGAGTCAACACGCTGTGTATGACTGAGCTGGGAGACACTTTCGCTCACGGTGCCATGCCAGTGCTCTTCCAGGCACCGGTGCCTCTGGATTACATTGCTTGAACTAGCCTTACAAAATCCAAATGGAATAGACTGGTTTACTAACATATTCAAATTTAATGCATATGTTCAAACAGAGGTTTGCCCAACATAGCAACAAGTATTAGTAATGTATGCAGACTGGATTCCAAGTATTGTAGTTCATTCATTAATAACAGGTTAATGGAATAACTTGTCACTAGGTCCCCACGATAGAAACTTCCATTAATTTGAATATGTTAGTAAACAGGTCTATTGGCACATCGGCCAAACACATCTGCTTAAACTTTATTGTTTGAACCTGTCCCTTTTCTCCAAGTCCCCCCACCCTCCCCTCTAGTCAAAGGTTGAAGAATTGTAGATCTGCCAATGTGCAATAATTGATCTTCATTCATGTAATTTTGGTATCTGATCTCTAGAAATATTATTAAACTTTGCGACTAAGATTTCATACCAACAATACCTAGTCCTGAAGGAACATATCTGTGTTGCAACTCTCAATTGTTGCCGTTTTTTCTTGTTGTTGTTATTAAAGTGTGTGAGTGTAGATACATGTTTTTACCTTTATAGTGGTGTCTGTGGAGCCACTGACGAGCCGGTTTCCTTCTAGGTGGAGACATCGGACGGTACCTGAGTGACCAACAAGGGTCTGGACGGACCAAGGAGAGTTCGTTCGGATATTCCACACCTAGTGAATAAAAAAAAAATATGAATACCACATGGCTGACCAACAAACAAATGGCTATTATGGGTTTTTTTCCCCTGACTGCTAAAAAAGCATGTGTATGCTTGTAGCAACCAGGGTACCAACGGCTCTCCGATGGGCTTGATTATTAATGCCTTACCAAAGGGCACTAGCACATTGACTTGGTTTCGAACCCCAGACCTCTCCGTAACGAGACCACTGATCTACCATCGAGCCATTGCATCTCCTTCAATGATTATCATCTATTGGAAATCTGAACTGTGCATATTTTTACCTACTCTACATGACAGCAGACAATATTTTCTGATGTACTGCTTTTTCAGAAAACTAAAGATTCCACATAAGTATTGGGTACAAAACCACAATGAATGAACGTACAAGTCCTGTCTAATGAGCTGCTGACTATCCTTGTATCATCAAACTTGTCACAGGAGATTCCCTGCATGTGACCTTCAAACGTTCTTACAGTACAGAAACCTTTCAACCAGTTCCTCTGTTTAAAAGTGTACAACTTACCTCCCTTCTGGCTACACATAGACAATACCGTCTCACATTTTTCTTTTACAAAAAAAACCTCTAGGCTCTGGTACAACATGTTCATACCTTAATCGTCTTGTCTGATGAACCGCTCACTATCCTGGTGTCATCAAACTGGACACAGGAGATTCCTTGGGTGTGACCTTCAAAGGTTCTTACAGTACAGAAACCTTTCAACCAGTTCCTCCGTAACCTGTAACGCTCGGCAAACACTTGTTTCCACTGGGGAATACAGGCAAACGTACAGATGAACAGACAAACAGACAGACAGACAAACAGATGGAAAAATAGAGAGAGAGAACCAAAGAGATGGACAGATAAAGACAGACAGAAGAGAGGGATGGATATAAAGGGGATACAAAGGGAGGAAGTTAGAGGGAGAGTAAGAGAAAAAGAGAGAGAGAGGGAGAGAAAAAAAATATGATATGATCAGAATGCTTATCCTTATATGACTGAGAGGGCCCTATGACAATTATCCATATATTAATGCTTATTTTCATGTTAATCATTTCATGTTACAGTAATACTTTACCCATTACACATAACATCAAACATGCAACAATTACATGACACCGGAAAGTTAAAATTTAAGGCCAAAAATATGTCGCGTAAAAGGGGTTAATTACCTCTTTCCTTGATTTGGACTTAGGTAGCCTACCACATGTAGCAAATTATACATGTAGATCACAGAAGATGAAAGATGATTGTTATTATACTAGATGACATCCTTTCTTAAAAATCTGCAGTTTTACGTCCCCCTTTATTTCCCTATCTAGAATATATGTATGTTCATTGGAACTCACCTACAAACACACATAAACTTGTTTTCTAAGTGTCATGGCAAAATGCAAAAGATACAAAGAAATAAATTATCATGTATAATAAAACATCCAAGAACTTAGAAGATTTTGTTGGGAGTTATGAATACCTGTATACTGGATCCCATATGGTTGATCATCTGCTTGTGTTCTTCTACTTGGGTTAGACGCCATTTTTGTTGAAGACAGAGATTGCTCCACAGATACGACTCCTCAGCAAGAGCTTTCCACGCCCGATTCACTCCAGCACACCGACATAGGCTCACTGAGAATACAAGCATACAGTATTGTAGTCTCATTAGGATGTAGACTTCCAGGTAACTAGCATTACTCTCATCATATCTTTCAGAAAGGCAGAGAAAAATTTAGCTCTGGAAAAATTCAAAAATAGCTCTGGAAAAACTGTTTTAAGGTGTGCGACTGTGGTACAATAAATGATAAAATACCTGAAATTTCTAAGAAGAAATCTCACTCTTAGGATAGCAAAGTGAAAAATGAGGTCCTGTGAACTCTTTCCTTTTCAGTCACACAGGTTCACAGATTATGCATTACCTCAAGCTATTTGGGACCTCTAAGTTCCTTCTGCACTGATAAGGCAGTTATAAACATTCATGAATGTGGAAGATAAATGCTCTGAAACTTGGAAAAGTGTAAGGTCTTGCATTGAACACTGTGTTGGCATAAATGGAGCCTAAAAGTATTTTGTTTTCACAGATAGACAGATATTTGAATAGTGTTCCCTCTGCATGTATGCATAAGCATTATCAAAAATTATATTTCTTTATCATATCAAATGTACATACAATGAAACAACTTTCGGTATTCAGCCAATTTCATATTGCTACTGAAGTAGCAAACATATAGTTAATTACCAAATAAATTGCAAATAACAAATGACAGACTGTATGTAAAAACTGTTTTCAACAGACTGTATGTAAAAACTGTTTTCAACAGCATGAGTCTTGTTTTTTTAAACGCTCTTGCTAAATCTACACATAATCTTGCAGTTGATATGCTTCCATCGATTGCTCTTCACAAATATATTTTGTACAAGTCATACCTGGATCAAGGTAATTCAGGATCTTCGTCGAGAGTTGATTTGGTAACCATGACAACAAATCTTGGCAGTTATGAGGGCAGTGTTCATGTAGGATGGGTTCCATAGTAACAGATAACATGTGCATCTGAGGTAAATCACACTCCTCCTGTCATGGTTTCAATACAAAAGATGGAAATGTCATACCGGGTAATTTTTATCACTGGAAATATTAGGGACTTTTAGCTTTGCACGACGAGAGCGTGGACTGCCTCGTGTGACATTGTGTTAAGGCACTGGGCCGGGCCGCCAGTGCCTTAAAAGGACGTCACATTACCTTAAAAGGATGTCACACGTGGTGGTCCACGTTCTCATCGTGTAAATCTAAAAGTCCCTAATGTATTTAAAGGACACCTGGTTGAAATGTACAAGACACACAAATTATTTATTTTATTTTTATTTTTTTATTTTTTTAGAGGGGGGGGGGGGGGGGGGGGGTCAGTTCCCAGTACTTGGGGTGCTACAAAACCACAACATCCTGGAACAACCAAAATTGCCAGATGGGTCAGTATATACACTGTACACTGTATATAAAAATACCATTTTCGTTACTAGAAAATCAACTGAAATTGACAAGCAACATGTTTAAGCAAACACCCCCTTTGGTACAGAAGCAAAGGGTTTTTATTCTTTATAAGAGCACACTTCCAAAAACAAAACAAATACCGGTATGTAGGGAACAACAATAAAATTAAACAACTCCTTAATTTGCTTTCACTCGCTGCCTGCCGTGGCAACAAACAGAATTCACGACCGACTTAACTCCTTTTACTTGAACAATCAGCCATGCATGAAGTCTTTTGTCTATGGCTGATCGTTAACAAAAAGGAGTCAATTCTGTTTCTTGCTAGGGCAGACAGCAAGTGAAAACAAATTTGTTTAATGAAATTAGGGAAATGCAAGCATTACTTTAAACAAACAGAACTTTGTTATACCTAGCTCATTTTTCCTGATTGAGGTGTCATAATGAAAGGGTAGAAAATGAACTTTCTAGAAATACAATTTTCTCTTTAATATACAGATACCGTCTGCCAAATGACTTTTTGGTACCCTATCTTCAAATTGATTTTAATCACTAATGCGTGAAATATGCATCATGTTAGTTGCATCAAATGAAAGAGGAGGATCTAAGCTTTACTATGTGTCATTTATTCATTATAATTTTGATTAAGTAATGATAAAAAACATTGATAATTCTCAGTTTCTTTTTTCTGGGACGCACTGTACTATGTAGGTCTTCACTGGGGGCTTGGAGCAGAAACATCAATTTATTTTGGAGGGAAAAAAATGAATAAAAGTTTTCTTACCACGAGCCTCTTCATTATCATATTTTTTTGCTGATCATTGAACTCCCGGAACCATCCAAGGATTGTCTACACAAATAGGAAGAGAAGCATTACAAGTTCAGTACTCAGGTTTTTTTAATTGATCATTTATCCTTGCCCTGAAGGTTTTTAAGTAAAGGATTATAATTATCGGCATCAGCTTCATTTCCCTTTTAAAATAGTGTGAAATACATGTACGTTCATGTTTAAAATCAATCAAATTCTTAATATTGAGAAATAGCTGCACTGAAAATATGTTCATTAATAGGACGTTGCCTGCTTACACAGAATTGGTCCCTCTTACACGACATCATATCAATGCTACATTTTCCTGGCAAAGTGCTTGTATAATATCCCAGATCCTGAGAGGTGCTTTTAATTGTGTTCATTTTTTATTGTCCAATACGCAGTTGACCTAAAACTACAATTGTCGTCTGTAAGCCTCCTGGTTTCTAGTGATATATTATCGGCCAAATTTGTGATTTTCAATAAATTTTTATTTAATCAGATTTAGAGACCATTTTTAAATTCTTATAAAAGATTTTGATGGACACAGGAAACTTAAAGGTAGGTACATGTACATGTTATGTGTAGCACCTTTAATTCCTTAAAGAATTTGGTGAAATCCTCATTCAATGAATGCCTCATGTTCTTACTGTCTACAAGTTAACCAAAATCTGGACATCCGAGAAGGATGTTTCCTTTCCAAACAAATTTGATACCCACCTCTAATCTTTCCTTGAAAACTGGTCCTGAGACTTTGTCTTTCCATGGATCCACCGGTTTCCCTTTTTTCTTCTGTTCATTGCCATTTTGTTCATCAATTGTCCTATCCCGATCACAAAACAATGGAATGCTTCTTGATAATCCCTTGACATCATGCATGACAGCACTGTGCAGCATGTCAAGCGATCGGTTGGCCCTCAATGCAGCTTTCTCTTCCTCCCCACACTCCATGTTAGCTATCCTCATGTCATACATTGCACTGCCTGGACGTTCGCTCTGGAGGGACACGGACTTGGTCATGAGAGGACCCTGTATAGAGTTCCGCTTCCACAGGTTCTTGCTACGAGGCGATGAGGACGGAGACTGGACAGCTTTTGACGACTGGATGGGCATTCTCAGACTCATGCGCAGAGGACAAGACCTATTCCTTGGCCAGCTGCTGCCAGAGCCAATGCCTACATTCCCACGACGACAGCAGCAGCAAGCCGGACAGTGGCAAAAGTCATTGCGATTCCTCTGCACTTCCAGAGCACAATCCGAATGTTTGCAAGCTATGGAACAGTTTGGATTTCGTTTCTTTCTTAATTGTACATGTTCACTCTGAAGCTTCAGTTCTGCTGGTCTGGACATGGCCTTGACGGCGCTTGGACGGACACAGTGCTGATAAACCACTTCACTATTGTCTGGTGGATTGTAACCGTTGTGCTTTGACAGCCTGGCTGTATTGCTACAAGTTGCAAGGTCACCTTCGCTTGAAGAGCTGCAGTCTGAGAGCTGCTGTTTCCTTGAATTTGGTGCATTGTATGAACTGGTGGAAGGTCCATCACTCAGATCCATTTGCTCTGATGGAAGATCAGCCTCTCCTGCTTCTTCTCCCGTCGAGGCAAAGTCACTGTCTCCTTCCCGCGAGCTTCTGGTCCTTCTGGCAAGTCGAGCTACCCTGTCCCAGACTCTGGACTTTGACTTTGCTCTCTTTGGGGGAAGCCTGGCAGGAACTCCTTCTGAGTCACTTGACCCAACATTTGAATTATCACGGCCATCCATACCGGGTTGCAGATGGAACTGCTGAAAATCAAATGATAATAAAGATAAATGTTATAGCAAATGTCATTTAGCCACGATCTGCATCTCGTTTATTGGGGGATTTCACTAAAGATAATTTTTAGCTCTTAGGATTTTTTTCTGAAAATAGGAAACACTGCAAATTCGAACCAATTTTCTTACCCTTATTTTTTAATTTGTATTAAATAAGAATGTTGTCCTAGGCAGATCAGATTCCTGTTCCGTGATTAATCAGGGGAATTTATCAATTTTAACTGAAGTTGTGAAATCCCTATGTGTGAGGGGTGGATTTAAAAACAAGGAGTCATACATGTACTCATACTTCTAGAAGACTGCAGCATATACAGAGACGCCAAGTTTAAAGATCGGCAATGCGTGACATTTTCATGATTCGGCGCGCGAGCGCGAGGGTATAACACACGTATAAGCTATAGCATTTTTTCAAAATCTAGTGCGCGCGTTGTTCGTGAGAGCATTTTCAGACCCTCGAAATGTGTGATGTCAAGCCTAATGCGTGATACTTGGTAGCTCTGCATGTAGAGCATTTCCTCTTATAAAACTAAGGTCCAAGTTTAGGAGTAGACCTTTTGAGAGTCTTTGCTCAATCAATTCTAGTAATTTCAAAGCCTGTAAAATTACAACCTAACCTGCGCCTGCAATGGCTTACTCACAGACCCAGCCCCCCCACTCAGTGTTATTTAGGGTACGCATATGCTCGTACCCTCTTTTTGAAAGCACCCCCTATCTGAGGACTGCCAACATTTCCGAACCCCCCTTTCGCGGGCTTTTCCTGCCTTGGAGACCCCCCCTAAATCAGGAAAAATGCCCAATGTACCCCCCTAAATTCAGAATAATTTCTCAGGAGCCCAAAGAGATGAGAGAAAAAAAAGAAAAACACCCCCTTTTTAAAGAAATCTCCGGGTGAAAAGTCAAATAGACCCCTACACCCCTTTTTTTACAATTCTCAGGCCGGACTTTGTCACACGAAAAGTACCCCTTTACCGGACATTTTGGCAACACACATGCGGTCATTCCGACCTCTGAGTGGGGGGGCCTGGCTCACAGATCACACTGCAAACAACAGTAACAAACTCAATCACTCACCCTACACTACAGCTACATGTACCATAAGCACTGTGCATGCACCTGTACATCGATGATTCTGTTCATTCATTCATTCGACAGTCGTTGAGAGGCCCAATTCAACGCTCAGCTCATTTTCCGTCCTAAATTGTCTGATTATTAGAATTTGGCTTTACACCACTTGTCTATGTTAAACTTACCTCAATTATCCATCACAAATTGCTGATAAAATTAACTGGCAGCTTGCTGAGCAGTAAATTACTTCAATACTTGATCGTAGAGTGATGGCAGTACAGCAGTCTCACTAGTGCAGCTAGTCGATTTGTATGTGCCAGCTGTAGCGCGCGATTCGCGATGTACGTCGAACAGTATTTAGCTAGGCTCGCTTTGCGGGTCGCGTGAGGGCAATTACCGGACAAGGAATCGCCATGAATCATCAAACAATAATTGTATAAATATTTCGTAAACACATACCAGCTGGATGAGTAGATCTATGCCTAGACTATGACACACCTGAAAGACTTTATGCATTGGTATAACAAGAAACAATGGATTGAGAGAATAAGGGACCCGCGGAAAGGATCCGGGGGGGGGGGGGGAGGGGGCACTCACAAACAGCTTTAGTGACCACCTGTCTCCAAAGACCTCAAGCTTTGTTTCTCTTGTAAATGGTTTCTCATTTAATTGATACATTTAAGATGTAGGCCTACTAAAGGAACCTACCATCTGCCTTTTCTGCCACTTTTCTTGTCTCCCTTGGGTGCATCTTTATAGACAGGTTTCACTGTACCCAGGTGCCCCAAAGTACTCCGTGAATGCGCATCAAGCATCTAAAATTATAGCGGGATACCGCTACAATTTTCATTGCGGGTACGATTATATATAATCATACCCGCGCATAATTATAGTTGGGGTATCGAACTATCGATGATCATCCTGGTGAGAGGTTTATACCTTAATTGCATTTTAATATAATTTCCATGACTCACTGATCTAAGGTCTAAAGGTAATTTTAACAGGCCAAAGGTACCCATTTGGAAAGGGAAAAAAAGGCGAATTGATATATATTTTTGCATTTGGGATTTAGCGAGAAAATGGGTGAGGAAGACATCCCAAAAGAAAAAGAAGAAAATTAAAACCATTATTTGTTTTGTTTTCTCTGTCAGAGCTCTAGTGTTTTTCTGAGAATACTTGTGGAGCGCCAGGCCTGAGTGTCAAATTTGACAAGAACCCACTATTATCCCCGTATAGGCTATCCTATTCCCACCCCCCCCCCCCCCCCCCCCCCCCACCCTGGACTTTCAACCTCACATGATAACCAAACATTCATTTCAATAATAAAACAAAACAAAATAAAACAAAACAAAATAAAATAAAAACAATCAAAAGTCTTAAAAAGTAGAGCAAGCAGTGAATGAGAAAGGTATATTTTTTCACATCTACAGTATTAATTGAATTTGATCCTCAGGATGCTTATTGATATGTCAAATATTTCAATTTCAATTCAATCAGGGGCAAACGATTATTCATTGTCTTAGTAAAATGGCAAGTGTAAACGTTTCGATTTCCTATTGGCATACATTTCCATAACAAGAAAATAGTTTCACATTGAGTGATGAGTTATTTTATTGTTTTATTGAATTCAAAATTATACGATCATTCCTGTTCGTCAGCATTTTTAAGAAGGATTAAAAGTGAGTTTCTTTAACAAAAGGAAGATAGAGTAGGCGTTTCTTCAAGTCTCTGAGGCTGCCCTCACCCCATCCCCCACCCCGGGCCCAACAACATTCCCCCACTTTCGCGGCCTTTGGGGTAGGGATTTAAGTTGATTTTGAACACCGATGGTGAGTAAAGTAGTAGTTGTTTGGCTTGTTTGTTTGTTTTGACTGATAAGTATAATAAAGAAAGCATGTAAATGCTTTTAAGACAGTTACCCGCATGGGGTACCGACGGCTTTCAGTACTCTCCGAGGGGCTTTTTATTGTCGTATGAAGGGCACTATATAGCGGCATCGACTTTATTCGAACACTGGAACATTCCTCTACCAGTGAGCCATCGCGCCGCTATTGGAGCAACACAGAATATTTAAGTTACTGCTATTATTTTAATTGTGGATAAACCCTATAAAGGGCCCTGTTCCTATTTCCTGCTTCCATCATTAGGTTGTTGATGAGGCGGGTTGATCAAATTGATGCTCCACTTTGCTTTGAAAATTAAATTATTAAGAAAGAAACAAATCAGGGAAAAGTTATTAAAAAAGGTAAACAATAATAATACATGTAATAATATCAATGAAAATAAGAAGAACAAAAGAGGAAGAAGTAAACGTGTCGTTAAAGAGCGATTGTAGCAGCTGATTATAGTGGGCTCGACACTATTAATATGGTTGTTTACAAAATGACGGGTATCAATTGGCTTTGCCTTAGTAGTGCTTTGCATTTTCCACTCATCCCCAGTATATGGAAAACTCATAATCTTACGTTTCCCTAGAGGTGGCGCTCCCGGATGAAGTGCTTCCCGTTCCCTTTTTTAACATAGGAAAAGTGTCCCCTTTTACTTCAGATAAGTGCTCCTTTTTCTTTCTAATCGATACCCATTCCAATTTATTATCAAAGTGCCCCTTATCACCTCTGATAGGTGCCCCCTTACCTCTGACAATTGCCCCTATTTAAATCTGGGAGATGCATACCCCATTTTACTTTGAAAAGTGCCCCTTTTCCCTTTAATAAGTGCCCTTCCCCTTCTAATAACTTCCCTTCTAATAATTATTGTGATAATTGCTCCATTTCAGATGTGTGTCTTTGTTTTTGTTTTAAACGAGAGCTCCCTATCTCTTCAATGCTCCTTTTCACCTCTAATAAATGCCCCACATAAAATCTGATACCTTTTGTCCCTTTTCATGTGTAAAAAGTGCCCCTTCCCTTTTCTTTATTCCCCCAAAAGAAGACTTGCTCTCATTTATAGTTGTTATATTTATTTTAATTACCAAAGGTCTTTTCAGTCTCATGATTGTGCTCAAAGCCAAATCAAGATTGTGTTTTCCTCTTTATAAAATTCAGTTTTTCGCACTGGGACCTCGCAAATCTTTTAAAAATATTTGCAAAATGAATATTCAGACTATATATACACACCCATGCAACTGGAAAGTATGCTCAGGCAGTATATCTTGGACCATGTAAAGAGTTGCAGAAAAATAAATATTGAAATCATCCCTGGTAATATAATCACAATGTATAGGGATATTTATATACCAATGTCTAAAAGACGGTATAATTTCGTTTTTGAGGTTTCCCTTCATAGGTGACCCCCGGCCCTTTCTTCAGTTTCTTCCAGAAAGAGCCCATTTTTGTAGGTCCCCCTGATCTTTATACCTTATAATTGTACAATTATGGGGTAGAATAAGACAAGTAGGGGTGGACCTAGACCGAAAATCAGTCTATTCCAAAACTAAAGACAAAAGTATAGTAGGCCTATTTACTCCACCAAGCACTGAACGGCATTTTCTGTCTTCCGTAGATCTAGACAGGCGCGGATTTCTTAGGGGAGGGGGCCCAACTTTTTTTTTTTTTTGCTCCCGAAAATTTCAAAATCGCGCCGGCCAAAAATTCGCTCAGTGGGGGGGGGGGGGGGGGGGGGGGGGGGGGGGGGGGGGGGGGGGGGGGGGGGGGGGGGGGGGGGGGGGGGGGGGGGGGGGTGGGGGGGGGGGGGGGGGGGGGGGGGGGGGGGGGGGGGGGGGGGGGGGGGTTAGTGGGGGGGAGCGGGGGTTAGTGAACATTTTTTTTTTTTATCCTAAAAAAAATTCAATTTGCACCCCCCCCCCCTTTAGCGCCAGGGGGGGGGGGGGGCCCAACCCCCCAAAAAGGTAAAAATCACGTGATTTTACATGATCATGATTTTTCTATCTCAAGGGGGGGGGGGGGGGGGTGGGGCCTGGGCCCCCCCCCCCCCCCCCCCCCCCCCCCCCCCCCCCCCCCCCTGGATCCGCCACTGGATTTAGATATACGCGAAATGTGTTTGCTTTTCTCGTATTTTATTTTCTAGGGAGTATCTACATATTTACATTGTTTGTATTCCACTTTCCATACCTCAGCTTCAGTTTTGCATATGCCATACACCCCCACCTCGCCCCTTTTCGACCTTATCAGCTCGACCATGACGTACACCCACACGCGCGCGCACACACGCAAAAAACATAAACAGTCACGATCTCGATCACATGAATCTGGTTGTTCGCTTGATCGAAGCTATGGCTCGGAACCATCCTTGTTGTGTGTATTGACGAAACAGCAACAGTGAAACGGCTACCAGGCATTAAATACCAATCTATCTTTGCATTAATTTGGTTTAGATTCTTACAGGTATGTTATAGTTTAAACCATATAGATCTAGACATGATAGAATAGACTTGCATCAAAAAATTTAATTTGTGCATAGGCCTAGACTAGACTAGGCCGCCATAGGCATAGGCATAGCATAGACCATAGGCCAGTACAAGCAGTAGATAGCCATAGCATAGGCATAGCCGGCCAAGGCGGCGACCTAGGCATAGACAATGGAGCTTGAGTGATACCGAGTGCAGTAAAACTAGATCTAGATCTAGTAATAGTCGACATGCGCTTGGTTATAAAACATAACTTAGAATTAGAATTCTAGGTCTAGAGTCTATTCTGTTAAATTAAAGTTTGGCATGTCTATGACTGAGTATGACTGATGCCTAGATCCTAGCCCTAGGTCTAGTCTAGTCTAGCCCTAGAATCTAGGCTAGCCTATTTTTAAAAGGTGTGATTAAAATTAAGGCCTTAATTAACTTGATGTTAACTGACTTGAGAGTGAGGGTTAGGCCGTGATGATGATATTATGAAATATGATTTTCAATATTTATGAATGATATTAATAATCGCCTAGCATACGCGATCGCCTGCGTGAAGAGTGATGTTGTTAGCAGAACCTAAAAATTAAGATGTGTTCGTAATCGCCCTTTACATTAACCATTCCTGCACCCGACAAACTTTGCAAACTTCCTTTGGAGTTAGCTATCGGACTCTTCTAGCTACTCATACTCATGGAGTGACTTATGCCAAAAGGGTGGGTAGCGTCGCATCGCGTTGACTTGAACGCGACCATTGGTCCAAAGCTCCCCCCCCCCCCAGTTGGACCAAAAGGGTGCATTGGGAGTAGCGATGCGACCATTCGTCCAAAGCCCCCCGGTTTTGCCAAAAGGGTGCATTGACTAGTCTTCCACATCAGTCGTTCATAATAGAATTTAAGGAATAGAAATTTAAGTCGTTTCAATTTAAATAATCAAAATAGAAATGGATTAGATATTAAATAAACAAGTTTTTACGTAGTCTTGCAGATCAGGCATTTATTAGAATTAAATCAATAAATAACAAGAAACACCATCAAATGATTTACTTTGATATTTAAAAATGTCAAATAAAGGTGTTTATTTAGTCTTGCATATAAGTCGTTTATTTATTAACATCACAAAAAATAATATCCATTTCTTTCTATGTATGGAATTCAGAAAAGCCCCCCCCCCCCCTCCCCTCGCCCGCTTATCCCGAAAGGGTGCTTTAAGGCGATAGACCAACTCTGTTATTTATTTTTTATTTCATTTGTAAAGACTGTTATGCATGACTAGTTTACATCAAAAAATGAATTCTATACAAGTCCTACTATACATAGAAAGAAATTGGATATTATTTTTATTTGACATTTTAAAAATATTTATTGAATTTATTAATTGATTTGATTCAAGATTATAAACGTCTATTAAATGTATCACCCCTCCCTAATGACACCTCCTTATTTAATCAAAAGAAAGAGAACTAACTTGTCTGGAAACTAATAATCAAAATAGTTCTTTTATTTCTCTTTTATTTCTTTGCCTACAGAATGTGGTTGTAAAATGACAAAGTTCATTGATTTAAGGAGATCTACTGTCCTCTGCTAAAGCAACATGCGCCAAATTAAGGGGTCATGCTAAGTCATTTGCAAATATCCTCTATTGGAACATGGTACATTTTCATTGCTTTGTATGTGGCTTTTTAAACCCAAGCCAGTAAAGTTCTTTTAAGGGTGACAGATGTGCAAATATATATGAATATATATATAAATAACTTTGGATAAAACAATGATGATTTTTTAGAGATTTAAACTTCAAACAAGTCTGTGATTGAATACACAGCGGTTAGACAAATATTTTGAAAGCCCTGGTCATTCTAACTCAAGCTGCAATGTCTGAGCGAATGAGACACGGGCGCAATGAGGAGCAGGATCAGACTGGACTCCTATCTCAGGCTATCGATGACCACTCGGAGGAATCACACGCTCACTCCAACAACGGAGCACTCCTCACGTCCATGGAGCACAGTACGAATGGAGTGATTGCACATCGAGACGAGGGGGACCTGAACAGCGTTCTCTTGAGCAGCACCAGGAGTCGTAAGGAATACGTGGTTTACACAGAGAGGTGGTTCATCCTGGCTGTATTCTCTCTCTTGGCCCTTGTCCAATCATGTGGCTGGAACACTTGGGGACCAATTGAAAACACTGGTAAGTTCTTATGGACTACTGTATTTCCCCTGTCTCATTTCGAGGGTTCAGTGACACAAAGATGTAACTCCATATTTTGCCAAAATGAGTATTTGATATCAAAGTGTTCAGAAAAATAGGGGCTTTCCAGGAAACTCAAAGACTTAACTCCACCCAACATCCCATTGAAGTCAATGGCTAGTGAAACATAGACTTGTCTCCTTAAGGCCCAAGTGCTCTGTGAGTGTGACACATAAACCACTTTTTCTCAAAATGGCCAAAATGGAGTTACGTCTTTGTGTCACTGACCCCTCGATTTATCATTTGGCTGTATGGGACAGTGAAGAAAATACAAGGCATTGGACAACAACTATTCTCTGAAAAAAACACTAGAGCTCTGACAGAGAAAATGAAAATTGACAAAAATATACAGATTGCTTCTTCAGAAATTTTGTCTTCAACAGACAATTAAAAAGTGATTTTGATACTAAACTATGGGTTAGTAATAGGGCTGTGACGTGTAGTCGAATGCTCGAGTACCCGCACGGTTGACAACTACTCGGGTACGATTTCTAGTACCCGAATATTCGGCCGCAAAAAAAAAAAAAAAAAAAAAAAATCTGTCCAGGCCGACGCTTACCTGTGCCTGGGTGAGCGACGGCCGCTGGCATGGTGCCGTCGGTAAAAATGTTTCCCAACTCAAGCACTGTCAAACTCACCACTCAGAAACTGGGACCAAATGTCTGGATTTCTATTTGGACTTGGAGGAAAATGGATTATTCTGCCATCTTTGGTTTTTAAAACAGCATTGTTTACTGTTATTATTATTATTAAATCGGCGCCTTCAACTGCAACTCGAAGTAAAATTACATGCGTTTTCGGCGACGTGGGATACTGCCCCAGTGGTATGGTGGTGGCAAAAAAACCAAAAAAATTTTTTAAAAATTTAAAAATCAAAAAATTCAAAAAAATTCAAAAAAATTCAAAAAAATTATAAAAAAACATGGCGTCCGAATACTCGAGTATTCGCTTGTAAGCCTGGGAGTGTACTCGGGTACCTCATTACACTGTTGTGCACAGCCTTAGTTATTAAGGATGTACATTTGTTTGAATTTTGAAATGTGACACTCTAATGAATGTGTAGTCCTTAGCTTTTTGGAGGCAGTTGGATTTGGTAATAGCAAGGTACTCTTCATCTACCTCAAAGATCTTGACGATGTATACTTGTAGAAGTCAACAAATTTCATTAATATGATTTTCAATTTCATACTGATGATCAGGTGACAAAATGTCATTGATTCCGTTGAGTTTATCCTAGCCTACAGCCTACAGGAGTAATGTTTATCAAGGTGAACAATTAAAAAAAGCTGTATAATTGAAAACCTGCCTCTTGAAATTTAATTTGTGATAAATGTAATGTAAAGAGGGCGGCATGGCAGTTTATGGTGGTTGTTAAAATGTGGAATAAAAATGTATCAAGCCGAATGTATTGCTGGTTCGTAACAACTACCAAACCTAAAAGGAACCTGACAATATTCACCAAATTTAATGTGCTTCAAATTTGAGCATTTCTAATGAATTCATTCACATTTCTGTTACAAAATTTGATAATTTTTTTAAAAACTCAAGAATGGTTTGTTATCCTGTACCTATATGCTGTGAACACTATGACTATCTTTATATTACTTTAGGTAAGAATTTCTGGTGAGTCTTGTCTACCCAGGGTGGCCTCGTCAGTATTAATTAAAGGGCCCGGATCACATTATTACCCTTTATTACAGCTTTAGCTGAGCTACCATAAATAGGCGCTCAAGCATTCAGTATCATTATATCTGTTGTATATTTTTCCTCTTTTTCAGCCAGTGTAGTCTTGGGATGGAAGCATAGTACCTTTGCCCTTCTTGCCAACTGGGGTGCTATTGTGTTTTCCCTCACTGTATTCTTCTTCACCTGGTTGCTCCATACCAAAGGTACGTGTAGTATAAAGCAAGGAAGGAGAGTACACCTCAATTCCAATTTGAAAGGTTGTGTTCATTTAGATACTGAAATAGCTCTGCGCTTTATATCAATTAAAGGAAATTATGGTATTTTAAAACAGATTAATCACTACACTTGTACTCCTTAAATTTGAAGTATGATATACTGTATAATTCATGTTACAATCGTTGATATACAGTGTGTATGTCAATTTAGTTAAAGGTATTTATAAATATTTAAAGCCTATCAAGTTTTCTTTAATTTTACACCTTTGTCAGTAAAAATCTGGCTACATGCAGCCAGTTGATTCGAGTCAAATTTGCCTCTGTCTAAATTTTGAATGAAATGGATCGTCAACCCAAAATTTGGTTTAATAATCTCCATCCTAATCAATGAAAGGAACTCCAGAACACCATTTACAATGTTCACCTCAAGCAAGGGTAAAAGTTATCATGTTCTCTGTTTTACCATTCCTTGTGGCCTTGTCTCCTCCATTCATGCTTATCTGTGTCTCCATATCTTTCTTTCTCTCTCACTCCATCTGTGTTTCCTTTCTTGGGCTTAATATTTACTCCGTTTTATTTATCTCTGTGTTTCAATTTCAATACTCTTCTGTTATGTGATTGCGTAGCAACTCGAACCTGATAATACAGTATACTGAGGAGAAATGTGCATAACTTCAAATTCTGTAATGATGTACTTTCCCATTTCCAGGTCTTCGTGTATCTGTGTTGATCGCAGCAGGGGCTTTAGTATGTGGAATGGGAATAAGATGTCTTCCAGTACCAGTCCATAGTATGATATGGTAAGAAAGAAATTCCCTACTTACATATGTCAAGCCTGATAATTACCCGATTTAGATCGGTTTCCCGATTTTTTCATGATTTTTTTTCTTCTTCCCAATTTTATCCCTATTTTCCCTATTTTCCCTATTTTCCCTTATTTTGTCTATTCTTCCCTATTTTTCCCAATTTTCTTACTCAAAAGAAAAGAATGTTGTTAGATGCCATTTTTTCCCCCCGAATCCTCTTTTCTTTTCTTTTTACTCAAGGGGGGCGTGGTTGAGGGAAAGGGAACAAAAAAAATCACCCCTGATATGTGCACATGTATGCTACCTGTTGTCATTGATTGACTTGTTAACTGATATATTCAATTCTCCTGCATAACTCCAACAAAATGTGCCTGTGTTTCCTCGAAAATTGTTGGAGGTTTGTCCAATATAGTGACACTTGCTCTATGCAAAGTGAATTTCATCTGCAGAGTTGCTATCATATATTATAGGAAAAATACTCTTGAACATGTAGTAAATCCTCCATGTTCATTTTCCAAAACTACCATAAATCTCTGTGTATAAGGCGCACCCCTATTTTTTTTTTTTTTTTTATTTTTTTTGTTGTTGTTGTTGTTTTTTTTGCCGAAAACCCATGCGGGAAGGACCTTCATTTAACTCGAGGTGCAGTTGAAGGCGCTGATTTGTGTTTGTGAACTTGTCACAAATAATAGTAACAATGTCGTTTTTAGAAGAATGTGTAGGATAGAACCTTGTGGTACACCATTTGTTATATAGAAAAAAAATGTGAGGAATTGTTATTATAAAGATGACAGACAAATTTGAGTGTTGTTTTAGTTTCCGAGTGGTAAGGCTGTGCACAACAGTGTAATGAGGTACCCGAGTACACTCCCAGGCTCACAAGCGAATACTTGAATATTCGGACGCCATGTTTTTTTATAATTTTTTTGATTTTTAAAATATTTTTTTGATTTTTTGATTTTTTTTTTTTTTTTGCCACTACCATACCACTCGGCAGTTTCTCAGGTCCCTCTCTGAAAACGCATGCGATTTTACTTTGAGTTGCAGTTGAAGGCGCCGATTTAATAAGAATAATAACAGTAAACAATGCTGTTTTAAAAACCAAAGATGGCAGAATAATACATTTTCCTCCAAGTCCAAACAGAAATCTGGACATTTGGTCCCAGTTTCTGAAAGGTGAGTTTGACAGTGCTTGAGTTGGGAAACATTTTTACCGACGGTACCATGCCAGCGGCCGTCGCTCTCCCTGGCACGGGTAAGCTTGGGCCTAGACATTTTTTTTTTTTTTTTTTTGCGGCCGAATATTCGGGTACGAGAAATCGTACCCGAGTAGTTGTCAACCGTGCGGGTACAACCCTGTACTCGAGCATTCGACTACCCGTCGCAGCCTTACCGAGTGGTGAGTCAACACACTGATTACTGAGCTGGGAGACATTGCCAGGCATAGCGCCATAAATCAACAAAAAAAAAGGAAGGAAAAAAGTGCGCCTTATACACAGAGATTTACGGTAACCTTACTTCAGACCTGGACCAAACACCAGAGTCCACTAGTCCCAACTCAACCGTCTTACAAGTCCTCCAATCAATAGCAAGTTTGCAGTCTCCTATCTCTTATGTAAGGTACATACATGTAGCTGCGATTGATATCAATCGCATAAGTTGCAATTGATATCAACTCTTTGTAAGACGAGGCCCAGAGCAAATGTCTGTTTACAAATCAGAGCAATTTCCTCACTCTGAAGACATATAAAGATCAAATATTAAATCTGTCTTTTTGTCTTTGCACTGTTTGCAGGACGGCTAACATTGGTCAGGTGATTATTGGCCTCTCTGCCCCTGTTCTCATGGCCGGTGTGACCACCATCTCTGCTGTATGGTTTCCTACCAATGAGAGAACGACCGCCACTGCTATCTCATCCACTATGGCTTACCTAGGTGTCGCAGCATCATTCCTCATTGGACCTCAGGTCGTGTCTGACATCTTGCCAGTCCATGCAAATTCAAGCACAATGTGAGTCTCTATAAAAAATTGAACATTTTGAAGTTATTATCCATGGTATAGGTGAACATGTATCCATTTTATGATGTTGATGGAAAGTGTATTGATTGGATAGTTTTAGCAAGTCAATTGTGTGTACAAATTGTGATTTTCAAATAGAAGTATAAGAAACACATGAAAAACCTTTTTAAAATAAAATAGATAATATGTATTTCTATGAACATTCCATGTCTCTGACGCATATTGAAGAATTTCAGGGGATCTGTTTAAGGTCACTCTGAATAGTGTATATCCAGTGTATTTCTTCTAATACAGTTCCTGACTACTCTGTTGTTTTGATACATTACTGAATGCATGTGTGTCTTTAATTACTGACCTTTGACCCTTGTTGCCTTTGTACAGCTCCCCTTTTGATTTGACTGCAGAAGACGACAATCTTGAAGTTAACCCAGGTAAGACAGTATGAACACAACTCCTTCCTTCTTTTCATGTACTATCCTCAGAATGGCCTGGTAAAGGATTGATTATATTCAAAGGGACCTTTCAAAAGATATGTTGAAACAAATCCATAAGGTGATGGGAAGCATGTTGATATGGAGGTGAAAGTTTCATTGAATTCCTTGAAATTACTTCTTAGTTATAGTGATAAATATGATTGTAGATTGTAGAGATGCTTGAAAAGGTTACGATTAAAATTCTTATTATTTTCACTAAACATTATTCTTCACTTACTTTATATCTAATTTTTTCAAAATTTTGTTAAAATTTTCAAATGGTACATGAGAAAGGGGTATTTCATAATAAGGACGTTTTGCTTCAAAAAATCTTCAAAAACATGTAAACTACTTCCAAAACCATTTCATAATGTTAAAAGGACTTTTCTTTTCCAAAAGTGCAATATTTGTTTAGGGTGTTTTTGTTTCCCTGGAAACAAACTTTGTACCGTGTATAAAAAATAACACTCTGAGAGAAAGAGTTGTCTAATGACGAAAAGGGGAAATGGAATCATGTGATGTGAACTAAAAAAATAACTGGATCATCCTGAAATACATCCTCTATTTCCTGAGCTTTAGAAGAAAAGGAAAACCATGAATGTGTACTCCATGTACATTGAGTTATTTGACATGTAGCATTGTAGATCAGTTGACTGCAAGAAATGAGTATAAGTAAGTATAAGTAATTATTTGATCAATTTATATAGCGCAGCTACTATTTAAATTTACTCTACTGCGCTGTGATGAGAAAACAAAACTCCTATTAAACAGTGCTACTTTACAGACGCACACACACACACACACCCACACCAAAACAACACAGCCACCCCCCCCCCCACCCCACCCCCACTGAAAAAGTGGAACCATCTTTAAACTTTCTCTCTTTCCTGTTCTGAATCAGTAAAATCATTTTTTTTTCTTCTTTTACATGACTGTATAACATTTAGATTGACTGACTTCATATACTGATATAACCAACAACAAAATAGAAGAAAGAAATTGATACAACTTTTCTCAACATATACCGGTACTTTTATTGAAAGAAATGAACATTATTTCACTCACAGAGACTAAATACATATAGATCAGCAAATTTCCAATGTTGTTTATTTCCATTACTGATCATTTTATCAGGCGGTGTGGAAGTATTAAGAAGTAAAATATATTTTTTTTTTGTTATTTGCAGCTGATTACGACCCAGTAGAAATTCAGCATTGCCTCAGACAAATTAAGCTGCTGCTTTTCATCGGTAAGCTTGATTTCTTATTCCAGTGTTTGTATGGTTGCAAAGAAATTTACAGTCCTGAGAAGTCCAATTATCTCTCTTATATGACTAAAAATGTGAAAATATGAGCATGTTGTTTGAATCCAGACCCATTTTAATGTCCCATTTAACGTGAGATAAAATGATTTAGATCAAACATTCCTTTATTATTTAATATTATTTGGAATATTAACTCTCCCGTTTGTTGTGTACAAAAATATCATAGATTTCTGTTTTCTCTTAAGTGCCTCCACCCTTGGGGCATTACATGTTCCCTAAAAAGAAATGGCCACCCCGAGTCATACGTATATCGAAAAGTGACATTTTAGTAATTTTTCGTGTTGGAACAAATGGGACAGTTATCTAGTACTACATCAAAATTACATTACTGACTTGAGGTGTCCATGCGTATAGTGATTACAACTTTCAAAAATTCATAACTTTCTTATTTTTTATCAAGTTGAGTTTAAACTTTCACCAGTCTGATTTCTTTTAGAGTTGTTTACAGTTAGGGTTGAATTCTCCTTTTAAAGGTTGTCCAGATATGACGCTGCAAAAGCGCAGCATTAAAAAAAAAATAATGATGTAGTGGGTATAAATACTCTTTGTATTTCTGTATCTTATAATTCAGAGCTCAGTGAATAACCGCAAGTCCTTCCTTACGTGCTGTTGCCATTCATTTACACTCAGTTTGTGGCAGCTTTTTTTGTGCCAGTTTTCCACACCATATCTGAACAATCCTTTATGGAATAAAATAGTGTAAAATGTCTTTATTTTCATATTTGTGTGCTTGTAGAATTCATATGGACCCTGCTGTTGTTTGTAGTAGCATTGATCTACTTTCCATCGGCACCCATCTCTCCACCTACTGCATCAGCCATTGCCAAGAGAGAAGACCTCAAAGCAGGACTACTAGAAATTGTCAAGTATGTCCGTCATTTCTCATATAAAAGTTTTATTTCATTTCACTCTTTGATAAATATTTTGATAAATACTCATCCTAACTGGTGCCTGTGATACATGACACCCAAATCCTAGTATCGACTTCCAAAACTTCTCGATTGATATGTGGGACTCATGGATATATAGTCCCTCAAACTTTCAATCATGATCCCAATGAGTAATAGATAGTTTGTAGACTAGTCAATGGATTGATACTTTGCTTTCAACGGTTTATGAATGAACTGTGGTGTAGTCCTTAATGGAAGCCTCGCCTCGAATAATTATGCTGAAAGATGAGATTTCTTCCTGCCTATTGGTGCACTATATTCCTTCAGAAAATGTATTTACAAGAGATTTATAAATGAAGATGGCATGATGTAATGCTTTTTAGCATGACATGGGCGAAGCCATTTTCTTGATAATGTGACATACCAGGCAATCTTGTACATGTATCATGCAACAAGCTCTCATTTGAAAGACTTTTTAGTTCAATAAAAAAACCTTAACTTCTCAATGTTGGATAATAATAGCTGGAAATAGAAACATTATAACATTATTTTGTAATATAATATATATCTTACAGAAAGAAACAGTTCTGGATTCCAGCCCTTATATTTGGTATGACTACAGGGTGTTTCAACAGCTGGAACACACAGCTCGTGGCTATATTCGACAACAAAGTCAGTCAGGTAAATCTTGAAAGGAATATTCCTCTTGATATACCTTTACATTGATGTAGATGACAGTTGAAGTTATTGAGTTATTTTAGACAGGTTTCAATAAAAAGCAGAAAAGTTGTTTTGATATTAGTTTAAATTCAACCTTAGGTGTTGGTTAAAATTATTGATGTGGTGGAAATGTGTTTTTAATTGGTACATTTTATTGTATTTCAAATATGAAATATGAACCAGGCAGAACCCTAGCATTAAACACTAGACTGTGTTCTTAAACATGGTGGTGGAGAAGTTGCAATAGACATTGTGTTATGATTTGATCACAAACACTAAACTCTGGAATTCTCAACTTCTGCGTACAAGATTCTGGCAAGTTACGGCTCATAGGGACATTGACATTTTCAGACCACTGCTTGGCTATCATTCCTTTCCATTTGGGGTAGTCATGTTTCAAGAGTTTTTATTGTGGGTCCTTCAAAGTGAGAAACCTTCAGCAATGATATCAGTGATATGTAACAAAATGTAGATATTTTTTTCTTTCTCTTTACCTCTTCAGAGGGACTTTATTATTCCATTTCAATCTACATATAGACTACCAGTATTTACAAAACATGTAAAATGAAACATATGAATTATAAACAAGATCAGCATAATTTCTTAAAATGATCATTACAACATTTCTATCACTTTCTTCACTTCTTCATTATTGAAGTATCTTATATTTCTTTGTACAATATGTTGATATGATCATATCCATATATTTTAGTGCCTATTTATTTTTTATTACAATTAAATATCATATTATGTTATATTATTTTTCAGACTGTTTCAAGTTGGATCGGTTTTTATTCTAATTTGGCTGGGGTCTTTGGAGGCATCATATTTGGCACGTGAGTAAAACAAGAACTTTTATGTTTTTGATGAAAGTCTAACAAATTTCTTTTTACTTGGCTTACTTTGGGAGACTTCTCAATGAGTGGAAAATTGCATTGCAACATTTTAAACCCCACCTGTTAAGGTAGAAGTGGTTCCCAAGTCAACCCTTTGTGTGGTTCATGTAGTTTAAGCTTCTACCGGCAACTTTAAAATTCAGTAGGCGAGCATTTTAAAAGAGCACCAAAGAACCCTCAGATTGAGAATTCCATTCCTTCGATAGAAGTGGTTCCCAAGAAAACCTGCTTTTGTATACAATTTTCCTTAGGAGAGAGTATAAGTTTCCATTGCTCAAGACGGTTATTTTGAAGGTTCTGGATTGCTTGAACTCAAGAGCATTCTTTGGCTCCACCCCCGGGACCCGGGGAAGTTATTGTTCTATTTCAGGAAACTCTCTTTTGAGGAGTGGAAGCACTTGGTAGGAAGGCTTTGCTTTTTTTTAAACTGATAAATAATCAGATATAGACCTAAAACAAGCCTCATTTTCTTCAGAATACAAGTGTTATTACTATAAATTTAAGGAGTAGATTTTCTCAGTCAAAAACAAAATTGAGGAATGTTCCAGTCATGTCTGACTTTCCAGCAATTGTACATTGTTCTACTTAAAATTGAAGTATACGATTGTGCGTAAGAATTTTCCGGCATATGGCATCTCATGTTTTGGACCTTTTTAGCTTTCATGGAAATCAAATATGGACTGCCAAGGAAACAGTTTGAGAACCCCTGGTCTTGGTGTGTAGAGCATTTTTGCCATCTGTCCCTCCCTCTCCCAAATGTCATACAGCTTTAAAGATAAAGACCAGTTATGGTCATGCGATTGCATTGTGAAAGAAACGTTGTGGAATCGACCAGAAAAGGTTGATCATCTAGCATAGAAGAATTTGTGTGTATTGCAAGGTTCTTGAATCATCAAAATGATAAGAAATTTGGCCAAGTCTTGGTAAAGTTTCAAACACTGTACACAGAAAGATGTATATGGGACTACACGAACATGTGGCGTAAAAATTGTACACTGGATTTTTACGATGTTACATGACATGTTTAGAATATGAAGGCATTTGAAGAGCCATGCTTTTCAGGGAACATGTCTTATCTGATGTTCTCCCACACTTGCATAATAAGAATGATAACGCTCACAATTTATTTTTCACCTCTTCCCAGAACTCAACCTTCTCTTTAATAACAACTCTATTTCTTACTCAAAATGCAGATTTGTAGATCGTCTTGGTGGTAAGATGAAGGCCATCCTGATGCTCTTGATGTGTGGAGCATGTGGTGGTTTTGTTTGGGTTCTTCTGCTAGCCAATGGTCTCATTCCATTCAGTACAGGTTAGTATCCCTCCAACCAATACAGATTTGGGCCCTGTTTCACAAAACTCTTCATCAGTAACAAGAGCCAAATCTGCTTATAAATAGCCAATCAGTTATAAGGATTTCCAGTGGCTTGTAACAATTGTCGCATCTTTTTATCAATAACAAGTTTTATGAAACAGGGCCCTGTTCAGTTCTATTCACACGGATACTGCTGTTTATTTGATCCTGGTGGTGATCACCATGAAGTACATTATTTGATTTGATGCAATAGCCTGTCTTTCACATCCGTGCAATGTTAAGTATAGCTAGACAAAGGACAGGGTAATTAACAGAAAACCTGCACCTTGAGCATCCCCTTGGATGGATATGCAATGGATGAATGTGCAATACGACTGTAGCTATCATAATTATCATCATAATTATCATTAATTTTCTATGAATATAAACAATTTTGAATGAAATGGAGTTTCATTTGACAGCAAACCAATATATGCTAGAATCAAATCTACCAGAGGGTTAACTTGTAAATACATACATGTAGCAACAACTTGTAAATCAATACCACTTCTCTTTAAGGACTGACATTCCCCCCCCCCCCCCCCCTCATTTGTGTTTCTCATTGAAACCTGAATCTGTTTGTGAGAACCACCTGACCATAAAGACCACTTTTAAGAGTTTCTTTGAAGGATCTTTAATCATCATCATCATCATATTTATATTCACTGATGAAGATGATGATGATGATGATGAAGGATCTTTAATACACATGTTAAAGCCCCACTGTACTACTAGTAGCTACTTGCTCCCTCATATAGAAACAATGCCCAAGCATTGCCCGTTGGTCCACCATGATCCTCTTTTTCTTATGTTATTGAGAGCTAAGTTGATGAGATAGCCACCTGTCAGTGACCACGCTGGGTGTAGCATAATCCCTCCTGGCCAAACTAGTACATACGGGCTTTAAACTGAATCTTAACACTGACCTTCCTTCCTCTATCGCAGTGTATCTGTATGCTTCAGTCATCCTGTTTGGGTTCTTCGTCAACTCCATGGTACCTATTATCTTTGAGGTAACGGCAGAGGGTGCTTTCCCCACCGGGGAAGAAACCAGTTGTATGTTCATGGCATGGCTCGCCAACGTTACCGGCTTGGTCTTCCTACTCCTCCCAATATTCATATCAAGTAAGTTTTTGTTTGTCCTTAACAATTTTGTTGTTTATTGACAACTCATGACTTTCCAATATTCTACAACATTATATTTGCCATCAGAATGTTATACACTATGAATTAAAGAATGAATGTACAAAATCTAGATATTAAATAGTTTTGTTATACAATAACAGATGACTTTTTTGTTTGTTATTATTATGCTATGCTATGTCTGTATTCTTTGGCATTGGTATACATAGATTTGTTGTACTTAGATTGATTTGAATGCTTGTAGAATACATGCAATTATCAGAATCTTTATCACACCATCCAATGTCTTTTGCAGATCAACTTTCTTTCATTCTTTACATGCATTACCCAAATATGCAGGATACACTGTATGTAAGACATACATCATTATATGAACAACTATAAAGTATGTATTAAAAAAAAGTATACCCAACTTTGGCAATTCCCATTTCAAGGTTATAACCTCTGTGGCCTTGAATTATGTTTCATTTTGAACTAATATTCTGTCTAATGATACTGTATTTTACTCTGTTAATTATCTTGATTGGATCAAGTCCATTTTCATGCTCTACTCTAAATGATTTGGATAATCTTGATCCTTTGGTCAACTCTCCTTATACTGAAAATATATTACCGTGTTAGCCCAATCCCAAGTCACCACTTTTCTCTTTCTGTTCTTATTATTTGATGACTCCAGATTCTTCCTTGACTTGGTTGAACTGGGTCATGCTGGGAGCGCTTGGGATCAGCGCTGTACTGCTCTTCTTCTACAAGGAGCATTACGTCAGAAAGGAATTCGATGTTACTCATCACGATGACGTTGATGTGGAAGAGGAGTGTGAACATGACCCACCGATAAGCACCTAATGTATGGGTGCTTAGTAATGAAATGACTAGGTGTGTTCAGATTTGGTGTTTGTGTTAGGATTAAAGAATGTACATTACGCATGACAATGAGGAAGAGGAGTATGAACATGACCCACTGATAAGCACCTAAAGTATGGGTGCTTAGTAATGAAATGACTAGGTGTGTTCAGATTTGGTGTTTGTGTTAGGATTAAGGAATGTACATTGCGCATGACAATGACATTCAGGAAGAGGAGTGTGAGCATGTCCCACCGATAAGCATATAAACCAGAAGTGCATGGCAATAAAAGTATTAGGTGTGTTCATGCTTGCGTTGATATTTTGATAGTTTTAGAGGCATACAAATTGATACAACTTAGTTAGAACGTGGTAAAGCAATTCCCTTCAGTGTGGACCATTAGCTCTCTTTAAGTTGGTTGTAGTGCTAAATTTGACACCAGTTCCTCGCCCGAAAACTGGATGTAATGTCACATAAATTGATTCATAGCGTAATGTAGAGGTACGAAAAGAAGCATCTGGAATGCAAAACGTGTAACAATTCATGACATATGTGGATGAAAAGGTGTAATTTGATGACAATTGAAGTCATTTTGGGGCAATATTAAGTCTAATCAAGGTAGTAGAGATAATTACTAGCTCTGTGTAGTAATCTTATAGGTCTACCTCAGTAGAATAAAAACAACATTTCAACAATTGAGCATTTTGCGTTCAGGAGGCGTCTTTTTATGCCACTTTCATTTCGCTAAGCTTCTTAAAGGTAATACAAAGTTTTGGTATGGGGTCATGAATTTGGTTCAAAGGAACATATTGGATGCATATGCGATCCTACAATATTCAGTGATCGTTGTCGCGGTTGAAATCGAGTCTAAAGTTATGAAATTGTAAATAATAAACTGTTTGTGTTGTATAGCTCCCTCTTAAGGTCAAGGTTTTAATTAAGCTATAAAACAATGTTTCTGGACTAAAATCGACCGATTAGCTACTCCCATTTGGAAATTATATATCACAACTACATATTCTGAGATGTTCATGGTCGCAGCTATCACTGTACAGCCGTAGACGCTATTTGAAATTCATAAAACTTTTACCGGGAGCACCGGTAAATTTTATATTCAATTTTTCTCGAAAGCAGAAGTGTTCTGGGGGCTAAATTTTCTAGTGCTTATAATACATCCACAGGGGCATCCAAATATATCAAAATTGTAAAGAATCACTATCCACCCAATTTTCAAAATTTCCCAAAACTTTGTATTACCTTTAATGGTCATTGCAGGAACAGAGCCTGCCACAGGAACCAATGTTTTTGTCACGTTTTTGCATGTATGAAGTTGTGAGCTGAATCTGAATGAACTAGAAAAGTGAGACTTTAGAGGCTTTTTCTTTTAACTGCAAAATTTTAGATCGCCAAAGGGTGGACTTTTTCTTTTTTATCAAGTTTAAGTGTTTTTTAAAATTATTCCAATCTTTCCAATGGTGCTTTCATTATTTGTTATATGTGTGTGTTCAGTAAAATGGTGTTGGTCTGCTACCTGATTGGTCTTCATTTCTTACCTCTGAATATGACATCTTACAAATTATTATTTTGCCTTGTTTTTAGCCATTTATATATATATATATTAAATATGAAGAGAAATGTGATAGAAAGCTTTTGTGTTACATATTTGAAGATAGCTAGTGACAGTTTGGTTAAATACTGAGGTTTTATTTTTAAAAATTATTACTCTATGTTGAATTTAAGCCAGTACCTTGTAAACTTGCATTTGTAGTATATATGTAAATTGGAAATGGATTGATAGCTTATGCACAAAGTACTCTCTATGAAAATGGAATAATAAAGAGTTTGTGGTAATAATTATATTGTTACATTTTATGATCAAAGAAGCTCTTTGATATAGTGAAAGGTTAAGGTTGGAATAGTTTATTTTGTATATTTTTAGCACCTAGAATACAAATTTCTGTGTGACTATCAAATACTGTTTGACTTGCCAGATCATATTCAAATATGAAATTTGTATTGAAGTTTGTTCTTAATTCAACGAGGAAGCTGTAATAATATTAACAGATTAAAGGATTGAAGAAAATTGCTGATACATTTATCTGTATCTGCATACATTTATATTGAACTAAATTCTAAATTGTATAGAAATACATGTATATTGATCTAAATTCTAAATTGTATAGAAATACTTTTATATTGAGCTAAATTCTAAAGTACAATGAAGGAACACAAATATGTACTTTAACTTGTTGCACATCTCCATTCAATTACTTATGAGATAAGAAGAGTTGCTCAAATTCATTTGTATATGTGTCAGACAAATTTTATTCACTACCAGAGGTATTTTTGTTCACTTTTATTTTTTATTATTAATGTGTACATGAGCGTCGACTGCCATTTCTTTACAGTACTACTTTGTGATTTCGTTATTGATTATTTAAATGTTATTCAGGGAAACATTCTATTTGGGTCTATAAGTGATTCCTGTCTTATTGTAAATTATTCTGAATATATTTGACACTGCGGTATATGCCACTCATACAGGGTTTATGAACACGTTCTTCTATCGCTCATTATTTGAGATTCTTGTATATATTGAAATAAAGAAATTTAATACGCAATGTAATAATTTTTGAAATTTTCCATTAAAACCAAATATTATGACATGCATGTATTTTTACGTAGAGAATATAATAAATTGATATTCTATAAAATGGTGATTGAATTTTATTTTTGCTTTAACTTGTAGTGTTAGATTTACATTTTACTATTTTCATTGATTTTTTTTAATTATTTTAATTGTGCTATTCTTAAACGTATAAATTAGCATGATTGTACTACTAATATTCATCTTGGAGATTGACAGTTAAACATGAAACTGAATATACTTGCCAAAAATTGCACAGTTATTCTTTGAAAGTAAAACTTGGTCAGGAAAGGTATTATTAATGAAGGGGAAAAATACATGTAGTTTTGTAAAGTGCATTTGCTACAATACAGTGCAATGAAATTGAATATCTATGCAGTAATATTGTAAATATCCAAGGTAGAAAATGCTAATGGAGTCTTTTTCATATCCCACCGAAGCAAATGTCTGCTTCACAAGTCATATTGGAAGTTTAACACTGTTTATCAGGGACTCACTACCATTGTACCCAGGGGGGTGTTTCACAAAGATCCTAAGTTGAACTTATCTCTAAGTTGGACTTAAAAGTTATGGACAGCCATTGGAGCCTTAAAATGAAATATATTCAAAAGCAGAAATTCAAATATTTTAGACTTTTTATAAATTCCGCATCAAAAACATGAAATCACCTTGGTGATAGAAAATATGAATGATTTGAATCAACATTTTATGCCTTTTAAAATAACTTTTACAAAATATTTTCAAAGATGCTAATGGCTTTCCATAATTGTTAAGTCCAACTTAGAGATAAGTTCAACTTAGGATCTTTGTGAAACACCCCCCAGAACCTGTGTTTAAAAACATAAGTACAGTAAGCTTGAGTGGAATAGTTATCTACTCTATATATACATAAATCTAAATTAGATATTTTAAATTATTTTAGAATATAAGATTTGAGGTATATGTTAAAGTAACCCCAACCCCGTAGATGCTCAAGGACTTTAGCCAAGTCTGGCTGTCTTAGAAGTATGTATTGCTGGTTTTTTGAAGTATGTATTGCTGGTTTAATAATATCAATGAAGTAAAAGCAAAAACTTGAAGGAGATGGTTGGAAAATGATGTGAGAGCAGCATCTGACCTCTGACCTCTGACCTCACCCAGGTGGATACTGGAGACCAGGGGGGCATTTCACAAAACTTGTCATCAGTGACAAATTGCTTTTTTTTTTTTTTTATAAGCTACTGATATCCTTGCTTCTGATTGGTTATCAACAGATTTGTCACTGATGTTTGTCATTTGTCATTGAAAAAAGGCTTTGTTAAACGGGTCCCAGAAGGTTTCAATGGCCCCAATGTTAATTTCCCCAATATCTGGTCATTGTGTATCTGCCATCTGTTATAACAGAGCAATATTTTTTTTTTCTGTTCAAAACTGTTAATCGGTAAAGGCTTGTTCAAATATGACGTTACAAAACTGCGCCAGTTTTTTCTTATGAAGAAATTGTAATATGCTTCACACTTGTGTATCTTATAATATAGAGTTCAGTAAATAAGCGCAGTACTTTTGTTGCACGCAGTTTCCATTCAATTTACAAATAAAAAAGTGTGGATGAATATATTTTGATTTATATCCTGCATCAAAAATTTGTTGGCTTTTGATTGGTTGAGAGCTCGTCACATGACCAGAAATATTTGACCTATTTTTAGAAAGTACTATATGAGAGTACTATTTTGGTTTACTATTTGGGAGTTGAAAAAATAAAATGTGATTTTTTTTTTTTTTTTTAATTGAATCAATTTTTTTTTTCAAATCTTAATTTTATGAAAACAAAATATGTTAAATCTTTTTAGATAAAAATTGCCATTTTTTTGTTCTAAATTTTTTTTTCCCAAAAAAGTTTTTTTTTTTTTTTTTTTTTTTAAATAAATTTTTGATGCAGGATATAAAACAAATATACCATGCCTTCTCTTCGAGGTACTGGTTAAACTATGGGCCTCGGTGACTCCAAAAGTACCATTTGCTTCGGGGCTGCGCCCCTCAGCAAATAGTACTATTGGAGTCGCCTCTTGCGCATAGTTTTAACCAGAACCTCTCAAGGCAGTGTATATTTGTATAATAGATAGATGGTGCTAAAGGTCCTAGGAATGTTAACTTTTCCTTCATTTCAAAATTTAAATGATTGGTACTATAAACTGATACCAGTAAAGAGAAGCAGATAAGATTTTGGAAAACAAACCTTGATTTTAAAGAATAGCGTTAAATAAATAAATACTATAGCTTTTCATCTTGCACTCATCTGATTCAGCTTTCTGTTCAATCTTGAGATTTACTCTGATGAATGGGAGACAAAAAGCTTCAGCATCTGTCTTTGATTTCAAGGTTTGTTTTCCAAAAAAATTATCTGCTTCCTTTAATACTGGATTTTTGTTGCTTTTATGTTTTTGTTTTGATTTTTATTATTGTTATTTTTTATTTGAGATATTATCGGTAAGCATTCAACCTGACTTGTAGTTGAAAATGTACATTGATTTAAAGGATGCAGGGGCATTAAGGAGGCGCGATAGCTCATTCGGTAGAGCAGTGGTCTCGTAATCCGGTGACCCGGGTTCGAAACCAAGGCGATGCGCTAGTGCCCTTTGGTAAGGCATTAATCCTCATTACCAGGTCCTCCAGAGAGGACCTAAAGCCTTCGGCAGTCTGGTTGCTTACTTACAAGCACTTATGCTTTCTTAGCAGTCAGGTAAAATAACCACCACCATTCATTCATACTCCGGGGGGGGGGGGGGGGGGGGGGGCAGTTGTCTCCTCAATCCCTCAATGAGTATATGGAAATTTGGCTACATTAATTGTAGTATGTCCATAATTGTATGCATCCTCTCTCCCCTCCTGGATATTAAATCAACATCCTCTAGAAGGAATAGTGATATATGGTATATTGTATACTTTCTTTCTTCTTTTTTTAAAGGAAAAATCTTGTTAACACATTGGTTGTAGTTTTCAATAATTTAATTTCAATACAATTTTACAATGATTTTAGTCTTAAATATGTAATCCTGCCTATGTTTTGTTTACTTGTGGTTGTGGGTTGTGCCATTGTTTCTTAATACTGGAATTGAAATCTGTTTTAATGATTATAATACTATGAAACATGTTTATAACCTAACTATTTATATGACAATAGTGAAATAACATTCCCGTTTTACTGTGATTCTTATGTGTCATA